AACTGAAGTCGCGGTGGTTCAGCAGAGAAAAGGATTTTGAAAACCTGATCTAAAATATCTAAATAGTGGATGACTTGTGTTAAATAAGTAGATTTGATGGATTCTGCCATGTATATTTTCATCAGTGGCCCAGTTCTGCAAACACTAGTTCAGTTCCAAACAGTGGAAGCGCTCTCCTGGCTGGGAAGGGTGGAGTCTCTGTTACAAGAGGCGGGGTTAAACCCACTACCAAAGAAAGGAATACTTGTGGGTGGAGTTAGAGTGAAGAATATTACTGTGGGAGGTGAGTGTTGAATAACGAGATTTTAACCACTTAGATATCTCTCGCTTTTATTTCTATCTTAACCACTCAGACCACCTATCATACCTTAATATGTTTTTTGTTTGTTTTCTTTTTTTTGTTTCTTTCCAAGGGTTGCAGACAGATGTTTGTGAATGGTTGTTTGAATGTCCATCTGGGTTCCAGTGTGTTTCTTCAAAGGGCAATGCCACATGTACATCTGTGTGCCACTCTGAATACTGCAAACATCAGGGCATCTGTGTCCATCGCCTCGGGCAACAGCCTATCTGCCAGTAAGTTCCATGTACAGTTACATGCAGTGTAGTTTTGCATAGTCAGATTTTTTATTTGCAGCATACAATCTGATTTTAATCGCAACTTATTCTCATCCAGACCTGTGCATTTATATGTGCACACTGATTAACCCTGTAAAGCCTAACATATTAAATAATAGTCCGAAAAATATATCTATATTTTTTTAATGGAACAGTTTATTAAACCTTTAGATGAAATCTAAAAAAAAAACTTTTTTGTTAAGTATCATATTTGATACATCAGGCTTTTATGGCTTATATAGTATAAAAGATTATGGAGTTCACACGTGATTTTATTCAGAGGAACAAACTGAGCAAAAATGTGCAATTTGGTTCAGTTACTGAAATTCTCATGGCCAAAAAAATTAGATGTAATTCTGATAGCTTGTAATGTCAATCAACAAGATCTTCATAATAGTATAACAGACTACATGAAACTTGAAATGCATATTAATACATGAAATGCATATAAATATAATTTGTCACTCTATATCTCCCAATACATTGATGATTGAGGGATGTACAAATAAACGTTCCTCAAAAGCCTGTTGCATCATATTTGAAACATACATTTTAACATGATTTTTCTACAAGATGATGTTTAATCAAGTAACCCTAATTAGCATGAAATATTACTAACCATATAAAGAGTATTTTTGTTCTACATTATAAGAATCAGTAAAGATTTCACAGTAAAAGGACACGATTTGAAGATGGTTTTACAATTATACCAAAAGGCCTTTTATTTGCTAAAAAAGCATAAATCAGATGACAGAAAGCATGTAGAATACCGTGTACAACAGCGAATTTTCCATCATTTTGATAATCAAAAATTTGCATATCAAATATGACACAGCAGGCTTTATCGGGTTAAAATCCTGCTGACCAAACTCTCTTTTTCTGAAGGTGTCCTGTTGGGGAGGATTACTGGTTTATGGGCCAGCGCTGTGACATCCGCATGACCCGGCCGCGTTTGGTGGGCGTGTGCTTTGGAGTACTGGTCGCTGTCGCAGCAATCATGGCTCTTCTGTCTTATCTCACAGTGCGCCGCTTTAAAACCATGATAATGCAAGCCAAAGTGGAACAAACACGCAGCAGGTATCACGTTCAATCATTTTATACACACACACTCCCATACACTCAGCTCTAGTAGCCTGGTTTTGTTATTGGAAATAGTTTGCAGGAAATCATTGGCCAGTTAAAACAAACCATGGGTTGTGATAGCGCCACAACACAGGGGTCGAATGTGTGAATAATATTCCTTTGTCTTCTGTGTGTGGAAACAGTTATCGGAGATTTAATCACTTTGATGAGCTTTCGGCTCGTTTTTGGGGAAGGTCCTGGCCGGGCTCTGAGGACTCGTTGGATAACCCTGCCTTCACCCGCTCTGATGAATTACTACACATGAGAGCACTTGACCGTACCTGCTGTTACCATGATGACAC